CCAAAAACCCAAATCCAGCTCTGGTGTGCCAAAAACCCAAATATTGCCCCAGTGTGCCAAAAACCCAAATCCAGCTCTGGTGTGCCACAAACCCAAATCCAGCTCTGGTGTCCCACAAACTCAAATCCAGCTCTGGTGTCCCAAAACCTCAAGATCAGCTCTGGTGTAAAACCATCTCTGGTGTCCCATAAAATCAAAATCAGCTCTGGTGTCCCAAAAACCCAAATCCAGCTCTGGTGTAAAACCAGCTCTGGTGTCCCCCAGACTCAAACCTAGCCCCAGTGTCCCAAAACCTCAAATCCAGCTCTGGTGTAAATCCAGCTCTGGTGTCCCAAAACCTCAAACCCAGCTCTGGTGTCCCAAAACCTCAAACCCAGCTCTGGTGTCCCACAGATTCATCACTCAGGTGCCCAAGGTTTGAGACCCTGCTGCTGCAATAAGTTCCCTGAAATTTCTGAGGTTTTTTTTCCCCCTGAATCTTGGTGCAGCACACGGCTCTGAGCAGCCCCTTGCAGATGGCAGAGAGGGATTTAATCCCCACAGGATTTAAACTCAGCCTTACTGATTTAATCCCATCTCTGCCCATCTCTTGGCATTTGCAGTGATCACTCCCAGCTCTATTTCCTCACCCACATTTACTGATCACCCCCAAAACTTCTTTTATCAAAACCTTATCAAGGCCAGACCTCTCAGAGAGAGCTCACAACTACCTTGGAGAATCGTTCATGTGATTTCATTCTTGCTCACATTTTCCTCCCCAGACTTTTCTGCATGAAATTTAAGGCCAGAAGGACCCATCCTGATCGAGTCCAGCCTCCCACACAACTCATGACTGAGCCAGTGGGAAGGATTTAGAAGAAACCTCCATTTTCATTTTAACACTTCAGGACCTTCCCCTGTGCACCAAATTATTGAATTTTCTGGTCGTTCAAATGCAAAGTTTTGCTTCTTTTTCCCCCTCAGGTCAGGTGTAGGTCTGTCTCTACTTTCACACCTTCAGCTTTTACTGAAAAATGCTTTATTTATGGGTGATTGTTTAAGGTCCTCATCAAGCAAAAAAAAAAAAAATTTTGTGCTACCAAAATCTGTTGGACCTCAAAGCCAGGAGGAACCTCCAAGAGCAGGAAAATTCTCAAACCATCACTCCCTCATCCTGGGCTTTCCCAGAACCTTATCCCACCCAAGAATCAACTGAAGAAATCACATTAACATTTATTTATGGGTGATTGTTTAAGGTTCTCATCAAGCAAAAAAAACCCNCCCACCCAAGAATCAACTGAAGAAATCACATTAACATTTATTTATGGGTGATTGTTTAAGGTTCTCATCAAGCAAAAAAAACCCTGATTTTGTGCTATCAAAATCTGTGGGACATCAAGGCCAGGAGGGACCTCCAAGAGCAGGAAAATTCTCAAACCATCACTCCTGGGTTCCCCCCCATAGCCCCACCCCACCCAAGAACCAACCCAAGAAATCCCATCACTATTGCAAAATGCTTCATTTATGGGTGATTAATGTTCTCATCAAGAAAAAAAAAACCCTGATTTTGTGCTATCAGAGTCTGTGGGACTTTAAAGGTCAGGAGGGACCTCCATGAGCAGGAAAACTCCCAAACCATCAGTCCTGGGTTCCCCCCATAGCCCCACCCCACCCAAAAATCAAGTGAAGAAATCACATTAGCATTTATTTATGGGTGATTGTTTAAGGTTCTCATCAAGCAAAAAAACCCCTGATTTTGTGCTACCAGAATCTGTTGGACATCAAGGCCAGGAGGGACATCCAAGAGCAGGAAAACTCCCAAACCATCACTCCTGGGTTCCCCCATAGCCCCCCCCCCCCCAAAAACCCACCCCCCCCCCCCCCCCAAAAAAAAAAAAAAAAAAAAAAAAAAAAAAAAAAAAATTAAAAAAAATTCTCTCTCAAGCCCACGAGGAGGCAGTGACTGACCACGAGGTTGCCGATGACCATGACCATCATGAAGACGATGAGGCACATGGCCTGGCCGGCCACCTCCATGCAGTCCCACATGGTCTCGATCCACTCCCCGCACAGCACGCGGAACACGATGAGGAAGGAGTGGAAGAAGTCGTGCATGTGCCAGCGGGGCAGCTCGCACTCGGGGTTGATCTTGCACACGCACTCCTTGTAGCTCTTGCCGAAGAGCTGCATCCCCACCACGGCAAAGATGAACACGATGATGGCCAGAACCAGCGTCAGGTTGCCCAGGGCTCCCACCGAGTTGCCGATGATTTTTATCAGCATGTTCAGGGTGGGCCACGACTTGGCCAGTTTGAACACTCTCAGCTACAAAATGAAACAGATAAATGTTCAATAAAGAAG